CTGGATTCTGTCCCTCCCCTCCAGTGTGCCCACCTTGCCTCACATCTTGGTGTCATCAGTGAATTTGTTCAGTGTGCATTCCACACCCACGTCCAGATCGCTGGTAAAGATGTTGAACAGTACAGGCCACAGGACCAAGCCCTGGGGGACTCCACTGTGAACATCCCTCCAGGTTAAAAATGACCCGTCCACCACCAGCACTCTCTGGGTGCGACCATCTAGCCAATTTGCCACCCATCTGACTGTAGGCATCAATGCTGCAGTCACCAAGGTTTTGGTTTTTGTTTTTTAAGAAAATGTGGTGGGAAACTGTCAAAGGCCTTCTTGAAGTCCAGGAAGACTACATCCACCCTGACACCCTTGTCCAGGGACTTTGACCTGATCATAAAAACAAACCAGGTTAGTCAGGCAGGACCTGCCCTCAATGAATCCATGTTGGTTGCCCCTGAGCATTACCTCCCCTGCTAGGCCCTTGCAGATGTGCTCCTTGATAATTTTCTCAAAGGTCTTCCCAAGGACTGAGGTAAGACTGACTGGCCTGTAATTGCTGGGGTCCTCCTTTCTCTCCTTCTTGTAAATGGGGACCACATTGGCCCTTTTCCGATCCTCTGGTACCTGGCCTGTGCCCCATGAGTGCTCATAGAGCCATGCCAGGGGCCCCACTATGACCCCTGCCAATTCCCTCAGCACCTTTGGGTGATGAGGATCTGGATCTGCTGATTTAAATGTGTCCAGCCCCTTCAAAACTTCTGTAATTAGGTCGTCCTTGATCCTAGGCATGGTGGCGCCTCCCCAGGTTTGTCTGCAATTCTAGTGGGGGAGATGTCCCAGTCCCTGTTCAGGAATATGGAGGCAAAGAATTTGTTAAAGAGGTCAGCTTTTTCATTTGCTGCAATCACCAAATTGCCAAATCTATCCTGTAAGGGCCCCACATTACCCGGTCCCTTTTTTACTTCCTATGTATTTGAAAAAGGACTTTTTATTATCTTTAATTCTGGTCGCTAGCCCTAGCTCCATCTCTGCCTTGGCCTTCCTAACAGCCTACCTGCAGTCCTGAGCAACGGAGGTGTAAACCTCCTTGGTGATAGCCCCTTGCTTCCATTGTTTGTATGCCTCCTTTTTTGCCCTCGGGCATCCCTGGATGCCTTTGCTGAGCCATGGGGGCTTTTTAGCACTCCTTCCCCCCGCCTTGGTCCGCATTGGGACTTGCTCCCTTTGGGCTTGGAGGATCATCTTGAGGAACAACCACCCATCTTGGACTCCCATCTCATCAAAGCTCCAAGACCCCAATGTCTCTCCTACTAACCTTCTTAGTTTACAAAAGTTGACCCTCCCTGAAGTTGAGGACTTCAGTGCAAGCGCAAACCCCACCCCCCTGCTTTTCCCTGCTCTCTCACCTGTACAGCCTGTAGCCTTCGATGCCCACTGCCCAGTCTTGGGTAGAATGCCACCAGGTCTCTGTGAGCCCCACTAGGTCTGGGTTTTTGCTAACTAGCAGGAGGGCGAGTTCCTCCTGCTTATTCCCCATGCTTCAAGCATTTGTTTAGAGGCAGTTGAGGCCTCCTGTAGGTGCTCGTGCCGGCCCCTTGCTCCTAAGTCTTCCTTGGCCCCTGTCACTTACCTGGGTACTGTCTGTGCGCATCACCTGGCTTGATGGCGAAGTGTCCTCATGTGCATCCCTGTCCCCAGGTGAACCTAGTTTCAAGCTCACCATACAAGATCAGCCAGCCTGGAAGAAAAAAAAGCACACTTTACCTTTTGGGGAGAGAAGAAGCCTGTCCCGCCCGAGCATGTCTTCTGTGCAGAAATCCGGGTGATGGTCCAAGAACCCAAGGCCTGGCTGGCAACACCAGCTCTGAAGCCGCCGGTTGACCTCGCTGATGCATGTCTTGTGGCGCCATCCATGCCTGCTTGCTGGAAGGACAAAAGAAAAAACCACCTGTGCCCCTGTCTCCTTGAGCTTTGCCCCCAGACCCTTGTAGTGTCTCATAATGCGGTCCGGGTTGCCCCTAACCACGTCATTCGTTCCCATGTGGATGAGGACCATGGGGCAATGATCAGAGGGTCAGATGAGGTCCAGGATCATCTCCATGATGTCCTGAATCCGAGCTTCAGGCAGGCAACAAACCTTACATGCCACGGGGTCAGAGTGACGGATGGGCCCCTCTGTTCCTCTCAGGATGGAGTCACTGATGACGAGGACCCGCTGTCTCTTCCTTTTGGTGTTCCGGTAGCTCTTGGCCTGTGCCATGCTTGGAGTGGCATCGGTTCCCTTGGAGACATCCTCTCCTACCTCCTTCACAGCTGCCAAGACCTCATACCTGTTCCCCAGGTGTACCTGGGGAGCTGACAGTGAGGTAGCATGAGTAGCCCTGGCTCTGGAGGTGACCATCTGCCATACCTTTGTATAATCAGCATAATAGCTCAACTGGTAACATTTAGATGTGCATTGGTATTCTACAATCATTGTCCAAAGTAGAAGACCTACTATGGAACACTGGGGGAGGGGGGAGAAATCTGTAGTTTTCTTCTCCCCAAGGAGGTAAAGAAATAAGTTTTGTTTTGGATTCACTTCAGATGGATGTGGTCTAGGTCAAGGACATTGAGAGCCTATTAGGATAAAAAAGGGTTTTAGCTTCATCACTCTTGGAGCGATGGCTTTCAAACTTTTTTTTTTTTCCTTTTTGATCACATACCTCTGTACTTGCAAGATATTGCTGCCTTTATCCCTACCCCCTGATGCATCTGCATGGGTTCCTTGGAAGTCTCTCCTGGGTCTGGTATTGTTTAATTAATTTCCATTAATGATCTGGATGATGGGACCAAGTGCATGCTTAGTAAATTTGCAGATGACACCAAGTTGGATGGAGTTACAGACACTCTGAAGGGTAGGCTTTGGATACAGAATAACTTGGATAGACTGGATAAAAGGTCTGTAATCAATCAGGTGAGATTCAACAAGGAGAAGTACAAAATCCTACACTTGAGATGGAATAATTGCATGCCCAAATACTGACTGGGGAATGACTGGCTAGGCTACAGTACTGCATAGAAAGACCTGGGAATTGCAGTGGACCATAAGATGAATACGAGACAAGTGTGCTGTTGTTGCGAAAAAGCTCAACAATGTACCAGGTTGGAGTAACAGGCATGTCACTTGCAAGTAAAGGGAAGTAATTATTCCACTCTGTGAGACTTCGCCTACAGTACTGTCCAGGTTTGGGCTCCAGACTTCAAGAAAAATGTGGACAGATTTGGAGAGAATCCAGCAGAGAGTAACAAAAATAAGGGGTCTAGAATGCATGACTTTCCTCAAAAGTCTGAAAAATCTAGGGTTTTTTAAACTGGAAAAGAGGACTGAGGAGGGCATTTAACAACAGTCTTCAAATACCTGAAGGACAATTATAAGGGGGATGCAGATGGCCTTTTCTCTGTGGCCGTAGGGGGCAGGACTACAAGCAAATGGACTCCAGCTGCAGCAGAGAAATTTTAGATTGGAGATTAGGAAGAATTTTCTGAGTAAGGGGGTGGTCAAGCACTGGAACAAGTTATCTAGAGAAGTCATGGAATCTGCATCCCTAGAAACTTTCAAGATCAGGTTGAACAGGCATTTGGCTGGGATAGCTTACTGGGAGATGATCCTCTTTTGAGCAGGGGCTAAACTAGAATGATCTCTTGAGGTCCGTTCCAGCCCTCCTTTCCAATGATTCCATATTCACTGATATTAATATGTGGCGTTGCCACTACTTGGCATGCACTGACTGATCAGAAACTCCAGTACCATTATTAAAACTTAATCCTTGGCAGAACACTCCAGACCCCAGTTTTAAAATCTCTGCTCTAGAGTATGCCCTAGTGGCTGGCTGAGGGGTAGTTTTCAGGTCAAGATAGGATATCTTCCCTCTTGCTTCCAGACTGAGTTCTGTAGTTCAGTTTTTAGTACTGGAGAACAAAATACGATGGGGAAACTTATCTTGGTGGGTATTCTATAGTTTGGTTTGGATAGGACTGATCTCAATGAGACAGACTTCAGCAAAAACTTCTTGAAGACTGTCCATTAGTTAAGTTTCTGGGGAGGAGACTAAACCCTATCCAGAGAGCTACAGTTTGCACAGTAAAGAGAATGCTATATTTTAAATTTTAATTTTGCCAAACTTGTTTGTTGCATTAATCTGAAGAGAGATGGGTAGCAAATGCAATGTAACATTCATTAGGATAATGCAGCACCCACAGCACAAAGACCTGCCATGCTTTGGGGAGTTGGGAGGTTTAGGATCATGTCACTCATCATCTCATGGCCCTTAATCAGCTACTGTATTCTTTTTTTGGTTTCTGTCTATGACGACAACCATCTTGAGCTCTGTCTTTAAATCTGGCCTTCGTAGTAGTCTTTTAAGGAGCTCTCTTTCTTTCTTCTGTCAAGGGTGATGGGAAAACTTCTGTTGACTTCATTAAGGTTTTGGAAGATGCTTAAAAGCTTAACTCCTTAAGGGAATGGCAGGAGGTTCCTGGAAAACTTGTTCATGACAACTTGGCTGGAAGCTGTTGGAAACAGTGTTGGTTAGTAGAATAATCCTTTACTGATGCAGGTCAAGGAATAATTGTATTCTTTCTTTCAGGATTCGGTGGTAGCTGTTTTCAGAAGGATGTCCTGAATTTAGTTTATCTTTGTGAGGCATTGAACTTACCTGAAGTAGCTCGTTATTGGCAGCAGGTATGAATTAATAGAATGTAAAGGCTGACCGATCAGGCTGTATCATTGCCCCTTCTCTAATTTTAAATGTTACTTCTTCAGTATGCAACTTTCTGCTCTGGTCTGTAGCAAGCAATCATTTATCTTTCAGTTTCATTGGAGTTAAAAATGAAATGTACACTAAATTATAAAGGTAATATAGGGGGAACAGGAATTAGTATCTCTGCTTTATATTGAGGCACAGAGGAATTAAGGGCCAGATCAGATAAAAGGCATATGTGGTCTACAAGTTAAGAGTTGCAATAACCAGATGCTTAAAATGTAGGTTTTGTGCTAGATTGCTAGAGCAAGCAGTATGCCCACTTAAATCTGAGATGGTGCCTGCTTTCATATATAACGAACATCTGCCCAAGAACTTGTAGGGTTGGGTTTTAGATGCTCAATCTGAGGGGTTTCAGACCCATATCTCCTGCCTCCCAGGAGAGAGCCCTATCCATAAGGCTATGATTGCATTGGCCAACCTTTTTAGCAGGTGTGCTACAGATTACCCCTGTATCCCCTGTGGGTGCATCTGCAAGAGGTATGTACTGCAGTGTTGCCTGATTAGCTTGGCAGTAAAGTCTCAACATCTACATATGTGGCCCTATTAGGCCATAGGAAACTAACTAACTCTGCTGCAGGGTAGTGCTTGTAAATACAAGTGCAGTCCTGTGGCGGCATTCTTTAGTGCACAGCAACGTGTGGCAACTGACAGGGATGGCTAGACCTGCACTGGAGCACCCTTGTGCCCCAAGCCCCTCCATAGCACACTGAGCTGAATTGGAGCAGCCCTGTACCAGCAGGCTGACCTCCAGGTCTCTCTGCCAGCTGGGGCTGCTCCAGCCCAGCTCAACATGCTGCAGTCCCAGGTAGCCTGAAGACACAGTGCCTAGCAGCAGTGAACTCTGGTACAGTATGCACCAGCACTTATTTGTCAGCGTTAATTTGATGTGTAGACAAACACAGAAAGTGCCATTCTGATTTCTTTCCTCTGCTCAGTCTGCTGCTCTTGATCTTTTTCTTTTTTTTTCTTCCTTCCCTGTGCTCCTCTCTGTCCTGCTATCCCTTTAGAACTGAAGCACTGCTCTGCTTAGTTTCTATTCAAGATTAAGCGTAAGTGGAAGCTAGGTACTTAGCTGCTCAGTCTGAGGTAGCTCTGGGCATGCCCAGAAGGCTGAATTGCAAGCACCCAAGGAACTGTCCTTGTTAAAAGGAATTAGGGATACAGAATATATCTTTTTTTTAAATTGTAGACTTGTACTTGGTCAAGTCCAAGGCTTGAGGTGTTTGAGTGCCTTTCCCAGATTTACACAGGAAATCTGTGCACTGCAGATCTGAGAATGCAACTTCTGCCTTGCTTGTCCCATACTTGTTCTTAACCACAGTATGATCGGGTGTGCATAGACCAGGAGTTATAAGGGCAAATTATTTGAATGCACTTATAAATAATTGACAATGTTGCTAGAGAAAACCAACATACCAGCTTGGGGGGGGGGGGGCAGAATGCCCCCTCAAGTATCTTTGCTACAGCAAGTGAAGCCAAGACACAGAAGTGAGGCAGCCCTGTGTCCAGTAGTATATGGAGTGTGGGTGGGGGGGGAGAGGGGCGAGGGGTCAAGCAGAGTGCCATTCTTCCACCCCTCGCAGGATTTTTGCCATGGAAAGCAGCTCTTTGGCCAGTAGCGTACCTGGCGGGGTGAGTGAACAAAGTACCAAGTACAGCCACCAGGGAACATGTTGCAGGGCTACTGCTGGTGTGTGGCATTTGGCTACAACAGTCCTGTGGCATGGGATTCCTGAGGCTACCTCTGCTATCTTATTTGCCCCCTCTTTACCCTCCCCCCACACGCACACACCGTATGCTACTGGGCAAGGAGTTGTGCCCATAGCATCATTCTGCTTGACCCCTCTGTCCATACACTACTGGATGGGGGCTGGGGCACATGACTTATGAGGAGAGACTGAAGGAATGGATTTTATGTACTCTGGAGAAGAGAGGACTGGGGTGTGGTGGTTTAAAAGCAGCCTTTCACTACCTGAAGGGTGGTTTGAAAGAGGATGGAGCTAAACTGTTCTCAGTGGTGGCAGATGACAGAACAAGGAGCAATGATCTCAAGTTCTGCAGCAAGGGAAATTTAAGTTAGGTATTAGAAATAACTTTCTCCCTAGGAGGGTAGTAAAGCACTGGAACAGGTTACCTGGAGGGGTTGTGGAGGCTTTTAAGATGTGGCTAGAAAAAAGCCTTGGCTGGGATCTAGTTGGGGATGGTCTTGTTTTGAGCAGGGGGTTGGATCAGGTCACCTCCTGAGGTCCCTTCTAAACCTAATTGTCTAGGATTCTGTGGTACTGGGCACAGGGCTTGCTCTATTGAGGACTTGTGAAGCAGTGGGTGCATTCTGGTGTCCCCTGTAAATTGGCAAGTGTCCTACCTCCACCTTTCTTCTCACCCCCACCCCTATTACTTTACTGAGTCTTCACTTTTTTGTTCTTAACAGTAGCTGGGTGCACAGGGATTATTTTTCTGCATGATCAAAACTCAGTCTTGTTGCTGTGCAGTGTCCTCTGTAATGAAGGCATTGTTTTGTCTTTAGCCTGAGTGCATGGAACTGCAGGAGCTAATCGCATTAGCAGAATGATTTTAATATGATGAATAATGGTGAATATTTTTATTCAATCTAACATCCTGTTGACATGAACGGGACAAATTTTACACTTGATATTTCAGCTTCTCAGGCTCTGAGTGGAAGAAGCTAATCAAATTATGGTTTGAGTCTCTTGACAACCTGAAAA